AAAATGAGTTTGAGAGTTCAGACAGGACGGTTCTAGGTGCTCAAAGGCGACACAAGAGGATACATTAACCTGGTAGGTAACCTTAGCATGTGTGTTTTGTGGTTCTCACGCTCTGGTATCACCTCAGCTTGCTTGGACCCTCAACTGAGGTGGTACCAAAAATAGGATCTAAAAGCTGTTGATTTAATTTGACTGAATAAGTTCTCCTGGATCTGCAGGCAGGTTGGTCAAAGTGAAGTTACCCTGTACTCCAATATCTTTGTCCATCTTGAGAGAACATCTTCTGATTCAGGTCAGACTGTCTGAACTGCATGAACACAACTGCCTACAGTGCAGTGAACAAGATCAGAGACCATGATGGACTAAAAAGCATAGAAAAGAACAAAGCATGAGGGCAGATATGGAGAATTTCCTTTATTTCCTTATAAAAATCATGCTGAAACACAATGGCACATCAGATATTTACATGAGCAGTTAAAACTGAACTCCAATAGTCATTATATATCACAATCATAAATCACTTACATACAGTTAACACAAACATCATTTAAAATGCAGTAAGTTAGTCATGTATTTGGTTTACATGGACCTGTTATCTCAAATTGTCCTGTGGTGTGACTGTCTCAAACATGGTTCAAAAAGTTATAACTTTTAATAACTTTTTATAACTTTAAGTAAATAAAAAAGCATAAAATACTGATAAATACTCCAGGCATCATTTTATATCTGTCTTTTTTAGTAAAAGGAAATCAATTAGGCATTATTTTTTTTCAGCCATATATTTCTAAAAGCATAGGAACTCAGGACAGTTAGTCACTGTAAAACGTGTCCTCCAGTGTGACATCATATCCTGATTTTAAATCTGCCAATTCTATGGACAACTTTATTCAGTTGAAAGACTTTATTGAAGGTCGTGTTACTGAAGCCCCCTGTGAAGCCCATGACAGGCACAGGTTACAGTTTTGTTCAAAGATTGAACTTTTTTTCTGACCACTGAAAGTGTTCAGTTTTGTTGTCCTTTAGTGTGACACTTCTCAATTATATACATATTTTTTTTTACTGAAACTGGTTGTTGAAATACGTTTTTATGGAAAACTACTCAAATGTGTCTTGCTAACTGCTAATGACAGGTTAGCAGGGAATGATTTTGTCATTAACTGACACAAAAGACTGAAACACAAAATGTCACTGGTGTGACATCACAGGTGTCACACAAGAGGACAAGGTCTCTTTGAGAAGCTTTTTAAATAATTAAATTAGATTAGTTTTTTCCTTTTTTATTCTTTTTTGGACATTTGAGTACTGCAGTGGAGATGCAGCTTAAATTGATCATTTTAACAGTTTTGAAAGGATGACAACTAAGTTTGACATATTTATCAAAAAAGTCCAACAAGTCACAGGGGAAAAATAGTTATTAATAATTCATATTAAATAAATTTTTTGTATTTTGTGTATGTAAGATTTTTTCCGTTTTTTATGTCACACTGTAGGACACATTTATGGTGCAATTGAGCAAAAATGTTAAAAAAAATAATAAATGACCTGACAAATTTCAGATTTCTAAAAAACATTATATAGAAATTATTAATATATCAATATTAAATTTATGTAACAATTCAAAATTGTTTTCCAAAAAATAAGCCATTTCAGCAATAAAGTTCCAGTTTTCCAAAAAATGTTTTTATATGCCTGTATTTACATAAATATAGAATCAGAAATGCAGTTGACTTTCATTATAGGGAGGCTGATTCACACGTAGGGACCTTCACTCACCTTCACCATGTAACCCAGGGCTCTGACCACAACCATCGTCCATGTGCTTTGCTATTGAAGAATTTTCTGGACCACTCTTAGTCTGGATCCTCCCCCTCGACCTTCCTGTCATGAGTGACTCTACCAGGAGTTTGAGCTCCAGACAGTTTAGCTTGTGGGTTCTTAGGATCGCGCAAGCCTCTCTACCACGACAAGGTGGTGATCCACAGAGAGGGTCTTCAAAGCTCTACACAAAACCTTCTTCGTTAGGTTGCAACCCTGGGTAGTTTTCTGTGTTCCCCAACAATATTCTCTGCCCCAGCCTACCAGAAGTATCAGCCTGCATTTCTGAAGGAGGTCCATGCTTTGTGTTTCTTCAGATGGAATGAAATAACATGTTTGTGAGGAGGATAAACGCTGTGATCTGAGAGGGAGTCTGGATCGTTCCAGCATTGCTTTCTTGCATACCTGTAGAGACAGAGAGAGAAATGATCAATGATTCTGAATCATTTGAGGAAGCTAGGCAGAGGTGTGGACTTGAATCATGTGACTTGGACTCAAGTCCAACTCAAGTCACAATTTGATGACTTGAGACTCAACTTGAGAAAATTGAGAAAGACTTGCGACTCGACTTTAACACCATTGACTCGGACTTCAGACTTAAGACTCAGAAAGACTTGAGAAAGTGTAAGAAGCATGGAGGGAGTCAGACTTAAGACTCTGAAAGACTCGAGAAAGTGTAAGAACATGGAGGGAGTCAGACTTAAGACTCTGAAAGACTCGAGAAAGTGTAAGAACATGGAGGGAGTCAGACTGCAGATGCCACACAGTCGGTTACTATTCATGTAAATGGATTCGTTTCCTACTGTAAACTGAATAAACAGCAGCGTCGTCAGACGTCTGTCACTGTTCTTCTACTCAGAAGACGAGCGAAGCCTTTAGAGCTCAAGTTCACCTCAATACGCTGGAGACAAGTGAAGCATCAACAGCATCAATGCACCCTCAGCACTTACAGTCTTACTGGAGAAAATGACCAGGCAAACTGACCATTTTCCTCATTTCCTCAAAAGAAACACAGCTTTCTCTACTGGACCGTTTTTAACAGCTTCTGCAGGTAAAACAAGCACAGCATTCACCACGAGGCTGAAGCTGACTTCTTCACCAGCTTTGTGTTGGAATTGGTCATCCCACCTTAAATGGTGCTGGCGTAAAAAGTCAAATCCAGCTTCGTACATTTACCGTCATTTTACTGTCTTTTCTGTGAACTCTGTTCAGCTCAGTCGTTTTGGTTTCTGTTGCCATTTGAATTCAATTCAAACTAGCCTGAACTAGTTTTGGTGCTAAGCTAGTTGTTATTTTAATCCTATGTGCCCAATGTTCCCAAAATTCATCTTCAAATATAATTTTCTAGGTTCAGTAGTTCTTCACAGGTTCTTTAGTATAGAAAATGGTTCTAAAAAGAACCCTGAGCACTCATATAACCCTTTGCATTATTAAAGGGTTCTTTGCATCATGAAATGGTTCTTCAGATTGATGGAGAACCTTTTTGAAAAGGGTTCTATAGAGCACCCAAAAGTGTTCTCCTATTGTTACAAGCTTGACATCGCAACAGTAGAAGAACCATTTTGGGTGCTCTATAGAACCCTTTTCAAAAAGGTTCTATACAGAACCATCTACAGAACATTCTCCATTCATCTGAAGAACCATTTCATGATGCAAAGAACCCTTTAATAATGCAAAGGGTTATATGAGTGTTCATGGTTCTTTTTAGAACCATTTCTTTACAAAAAAACTCTGAAGAACCATCCAAAAATTCTTAATTGTGTATTAATATCCAGCCATACGCTGCTAACGTGCTCATTAAAAGGCTACAGTACTGTTACCTTTATTCAGTGTTTTGGGCTTAAATTAGCTGAAGAACACAGACTGACTTGTTTAGGACTCAAAGATCAGGACTACTGACTTGACTCGACTTGAGACTCGCCTGTACTGACTCGGGACTTGAATCAAGACTCGACTATCTTGACACAGGACTTGAGTGTGAAGACTTGAGACTTACTTGTTACTTGAACTAGATTTATATGCTGGATAGATCCGTAATACACCATCAACCTTCTTACTCTCTTTAGCACGAGTCAGACTTCAGAGCACTAAAATACTTTAAAATGCTTAATATTTCTAAAACATTCGCTTAACTATGACTGATCTTTTGGTACCAAACTACTCCATCTGTTATACAGCACTGCTGACACAGCTTCATTACTTCAGTACTGGTTAGCAAGCTAAACATGGCTAACAAAGGAGTTTCACCATTATTCACACACAGTTTACACACAATTATTCACAAAGTAGTGCATCATAAAATATCTGCATTACGACGTCTGCATGGCTGATTAGCTCACTGAATGCTCACAGCTGAGGTCCGACCTAGTCACCTACAACAAAACATTCCTGTGTTCAACCCTGCTAAAAAAGGACCATTAGAAACCATTAGGATTAAAACCCAATGGTTTTGCTCTCTAATGGGAATTGGCCTAATGGTTTCCAATAGAAACCATTCATTTCTTGTAGAACACCTTTAGATCCTATTAGGAAACGGTCAAATGCATATAGAATCAGCTGAAGAATCAGGCCACATGGTCACATGTTAAACCATCAGGATCCTTTACACTGTGATATCACCCCATTAAAAAAGCCAAATCATTACAAAACCATCGGGAACCAATAGACACAATGGTTTCTATGTTTTTTTTTCAGCTGGGAAAACACTTCGTAGTGCAGAAGTTCCACTGCTCCATGCCAATGTGTCCATAGCTGCATGCTGCTTTGGGCTGTATTATCAGTGAGTGTGTTTACATGCACTCAATAATCTGATCATAATCAGATTTCTGCAGTTATCTGATTATCCAAATGGTCGTGTAAACAGCAATTTTTTAGATTGAAGTAAGGTCTACAAATCTGATTGACCCTTGTGTGGTGTTCATATATTTATCAGTCAGCCAATGTTTGTGGGCCTGGTGGACCCACCACGTTTTTTTTTATTTATTTATTTTTTTATTTTTAAATCTATACAGCCAGAACCATTTATGTGAAAATACCAGATGTTTACTTTATCCCAATAACAGGCAATAAAGACAGCATATGATATTTACCATTTACCATTAATATTTACCATTTACCTCTGTTGGTTCATATCTATAAACAATAGTGCTGTCCATTTTTGTGATAAAATAACATCAATATCAACATGTGGGTGGAAAAACGTTTATTTTGAGGAAATCTAAATGAAGCAATGCTGAGAAAATAAACACATTTATATTAGTCTGAAAAGCCTCAGCACCATTGAACAGATACAGAATCCACATCAGTCTACATAAGACACCAGCCCTACTGAACACAGTCTACTCACGCCAGCCTATACAAGACATGAGGGGCAGAGTTTTACTGTGTTTTTACTGTTTTACTGTGTGTTGCAAATGTGTTTCTTGCACATGATGCATGTACGCTGTGTCCTTCTGTCCATCTTGGGTCCAAACACAGCACAGCACTGTTTGTTGCTACTGGCTGCAACCTAGAATGATGAAAATATTAGATCAGGAATTTTTCTCACACCTTTCCGTCTCTTTGTCTCTCTCTTTCTCTGTCTGTCTCTCACTCTCTCTCTCTCTCTCTCTCTCTCACATATACACACACACATTATAGTTGTTCAAAGTAAGAAAGTCAGACATAACATATGCAACAGCATTTCACACTCACTTGAGCTTCTGCAGATGGTTGTTCTGTGGGTCTGTGGGCTGAAGGGACACCAGCCTCCTCCTCCTGAGGCTGGCTCAGGATGGCTGCAGGAGCTGGGCTTCTTGGGATGTGTTATCTTCTCTGGATTTGAGGTCTCACCAGCAGGCCAAATAGGAGGTGGACATTGGGAAGGGACACAGCACCTTCACATTTTTATTACCTGCGGGTCCAGTGGAGGGGGGGTGTGTGTGTGTGGGGGGGGTGTGGGTGTACAGTGTGTGGGTGTACAGTGTGAAGGCACTGATATTGTATTCCTTTATATGTTCTTCACAGAAAATGGGCAAAGGCCAAGAAATCTGAGTTTGAAATAATAATAAATCGCATAATTTTTCTTCTGGTAAACATTGAAACGGGTCCCACAGACCCCAACACCACACAAGGGTTAAGAAATCTGATAAAGAGTTTGGATTTTAGCTCAGCAATCAGATTTCTCAGTATATGTAAACTCTTACTCTGATTTCATTCGGATTTCTCAGTCTGTGCATGTGTGAAAACAGACAGCGGTATCAGAAATAAGTGAGCAGCGTTGCTGCGAGATGCAGCAAAATGCTTTTGGAGCAACACTGAAACCAAATACATGCTTGACGAAATGAAGGGTTTAAATAATCTTCATCTGATAGATTATGAATGTTCATATTTTCAGGTAAAGTGACTCGAGGTTTTAAAAAAAACTGCAGCATGAAGTTTAAGTTTTACGTTACGTTTACGCCACGTCTTCTTTGTGAGTTTATTGGCTGGTTGTAAAGCAGAAATCTGATTACTGTCTGACTCATGTAGACCTGGAGTTTCCCATTATCTGATTACCCAAGTGCATGTAAACATGTTGATCAGATTACTGATAAAATCTGATTTTCTGCAGTTATCGGATTATTAAGTGCATATAAACGTGTTGATTGGATTACTGATAAAATCTGATTTTTTGCAGTTATCGGATTATTAAGTGCATATAAACGTGTTGATTGGATTACTGATAAAATCTGATTTTTTGCAGTTATCGGATTATTAAGTGCATATAAACGTGTTGATCAGATTACTGATAAAATCTGATTTTCTGCAGTTATCGGATCATTAAGCGCATATAAACGTGTTGATTGGATTACTGATAAAATCTGATTTTCTGCAGTTATCGGATTATTAAGTGCATATAAACGTGTTGATCGGATTACTGATAAAATCTGATTTTCTGCAGTTATCGGATTATTAAGTGCATGTAAACACACTCAGCGTTTCCCTGGTCGGTCTCTGCCTCGTTCTCTTACTGCCCCAGTCTAGTTTGGGTTTCTGTCTCCACTCTGTCTCCATCATATCTTCTCACTTCAGCCTGTGTATTTATTCCCCTGTGGCTGTTCGGAGTCTTATCCTGCGTCGCCTATGTGTCCGAATATTTCTGCCATTTGAACCTCTAGTTTATATTCAGCCCTTTGTAGGTTTGTCTTTCTCTGTGTCGGTCCTTGTTTAACTCTTGGTTTCCCTTCTTCTTTTGTTTATCTGTCCTTTCTGTGGCTCTTCAGCTGATCAGTTCCTGAAAGGTTAAATATGATCAATGTGCAAATCCTCACTGCCTACGATGGTCCAGTACTATAAGCAAGGTTTTCTACTGCCAACATGTAAATACAGCATTATTAAGTCTTCAGGCTTCTGATTGGCTGTTTCCTGATTCCTGATTCTGACTGTGTCCACCCATCTTGCAGCTGGTCCTCCTCTTTTACCTTCAACTGTTCTAAGCATTACTGTCTTTTCCAGTGAGTTGGTTCTTCTCAGAACGTGTCCAAAAGAAGAGTTTCAGTTCGGTTGTCTGGGTTTCCAGTGAGAGGTTGTTTTGGTCGAGGATCCATTCGTTAGGCTGCTCTACATTAAATGTTTAGGAATTTAAAAAGCTACCGTGGACCCATGTGTCTGTGCTGCCTAATGGTTTGTAAAAGACATTCACTCACGTGCTGCTGCTTTACTTTCACTGTGACTCTCCTCTGGAACATCTGTGTGGAAATAAGAAAAAACATATCGTTTATAAAAAGACCCCAATTAAAGGTTTGGTTCATCTTAACCTGAATTACAATATCAAATTCCATGAAGGCACAAATGATTCACTGTATAACTCTGACTGTAGTTAATCTCCTTACCTTCTACTGAGAGCTCCACACTCTGGACTAGAACCCTTTTAGAACTCAGAGATCTCTCATTTCTCTCACAACAAGGAAGCTTTCATAGATTCCTGCATCCTCAGGTCTGATATTCTTCAACTCCAGTGAACAGTCCCCCTTCAGCAGGTGATCTTCAGGAACGTCCACACGGTCTTCATACCCCTCACCCTGATATTGATCCCCACCCCTTCGCTCAAACACTGTCCCAGCAAAAGTGAGCCACACAACATGAGGAGTTTGGCTGGCTGACTCTGTGGTGGCTTTACTTCTCCAGTCACATGGAAGAACAGCTGAGGAACCCACTGTAGCAGACATGAAGACTGTGGATGTGCAGCTACAGAGCCTGGATAACATATAAAACACAAAACATTTAAAGGATATTTACATTAGTATATTATATATATATATATATATATATATATATATATATATATATATATATATATAATATATATATTAACATATATAAAGCCCTGTACCAAAGTCAGAGACCAGCCTTATTCAATGTCCAGTCTAAACTGAGGTTAAAGATTCACCTGAGGTTCACCTGAGGTTAAAAAACATCTCCAGCACTCAGTCCCAATATTTAATCTGTCAGTATTTAATCTGTCCACTCTTTTTGTTTGTGGACCTACAGCCACTTTAACTCTTCCATCCTTCCAATATTAGACCAACCAGTTGCACCAACCAGTGTATCTAAAAAGGAGGTGTGTCTGCAGATTCTTTGAGAAACTGAAAGTGAGTCTCCTGAGAAGAACAGAAGCTGGAATAAAGGGAAAGAGTGGACATACAATACATACCAAGACAAAAACTGTAGTTAGTTGTTGTGTTTTCTGCCTTTTGTGATTCTGAAAGTTTAATAGTTTGTACTTTTCGGCTGTCTCGACTGGTCTCTGGCTTTTGTACAGCTTTATGTATAAACAGTACTGTAAAGACTTTACACAGTACTGTAAAAGCTATAAATACATTATAGATTAATTTAGACTGCAGTCTCTTTTATAAAATGGCCACTAGTTGGTCACTCACCTGCACAGGTGGCCAGCGACAGGACGAAAACCGAAGGTAGGTACTCATGATCAAAACTGGAGGATTCACTGATGAAGTGAGAAGAAAAACGATGAGTTATTAACTATTATAATGATTCAACACACAGTCTGGTGGATCCACATCCCAGCAGAAAACAAGGGAAAAACTGAGGGATTTTTTGATGAACCGTTTCTTTAACACTGAAATTAACTTTCATTCTAAGACCAATAAGTAAATACTTTAAAACTAATAATGAACTCAGCTCCACTGATCAAAACCAATAAGCTCAGTGTAGTCAAATCTGACAAAACGTAAAACTGATTCAGTTTGAGAGTTTGGAGGAACTACTGCATGCAGGATATTCTGAACTGAGAAAATTCAGACTTAGGATCTCAAAATAATGACTTACTTTAATTCTTAGTATCTCAAAAATAACTTACTATGCCAGAATAATGATTTCTTAAAATATTGACTTGTATGTTGAAATAATGACTATGACCTGTCTTGTAACAATGATTAATAATGCTGAAATTTATACTTCACTTTCTGTAATGTAGTTATTGTTAAACAGGTCAGAATCTCAATAAAAAAGTCTTTATTCTGAGATATTAAGTCAATATTTAAAAAAAAAGAAGTCATTTTGAGGCACCAGGTCATTATTTGGAGAAAAGCTGTCATATACTAAGTCAGTATTTAACACACAGCTGGCAGAAGTGGAGAAAGAGAAGAGAGAGAAGAAGAACTACATTTATTCTCCAGCAGATGGCAGAACGGGCTTCTACAGATTCCTAACTGAGTGCGAGATTAGAGACCCCACCTGCAGTTCAAATCAAAACAACAGCCGCCCTCTGTGTCCTGTCTGCTTTTGTTTATCTGCACAGTGACCGAGTTTCCTCATCCAGCGCTCTTCTGGAAGTTGAGCCACGCTGTAATAGTTTTGTATGTAAACAGGACTGAGCGTCACGCGCGCAGATGTTTGTTTTCTTGAAGGGAAATTTTCTGTAAACTCAGTTTAATCATCAGCCAGAGCTGCCAGTTCTCACGGAAGATGTGGTGCGTATAAGACTCACGATTCTGGGTCTTTTTCAAGGAGCACCTTAGATTAGAAAGGGTAATTTGCTTTGCCTTGCAAATGTAATGGGTTTCGCAAGGCAGTGCAGTGTCCTTCAGCGGCACTGTAGAGGCTCAGAGCTCCACCAACCAGCACGCAAGACTAGTTTATGTGTTTTTGCATTGTGAGCTGATTGGTTCATAGCCTGTTGAGCTGACTTTGGCTGCAGCTCCGCCTCTCTACATATATCAGCAGAGAGAGAAGCGCAGTGAATCTCTCTGGAAATGCGCTAAATTCTATAAATTATATATATATATATATATATATATATATATATATATATATATATATATATATATACACACACGCACACATACTGTTATTATTATCATTATTATTCTTATTATTATAAACAGCTGATGCTGTTTGAAAATCTGGAAACTATCCAGCAGAAACAGTTCAAAAACATACACACACAAACACACACACACTCACACACACCCAGAGACCTCTACTGATAACATACAGAGGCACACACACACACACACACACACAGACCTCTGCTGAAAACAGTCTGCATAATGCGCAGTGCATCTGGCTGGATAACATACAGTGACATATACACACACACACACACACACACACACACACACAAATATAAATAAATAAAGCAAAAATATTGCAAAAGCATTACAATATGTGCCAATTATTTCCATGCAGACGTTTTTGCCAAAGCAGCAGGATGAAGGAACCGCATAGAACTGCGTGTGACGTTTTCTTAATGCCTACAAGTGTTGTGCAGGAATGTTTGCATTGCAGCAGCAGCTGGTACTCACCAGGCAGGATGTTGAGAACTTTCAGCTGAACTGAAAAACAAACCGCAGAACACAGTGGAAAAATACCAGCTACACCCCTCCTTCAAAATGCTTGATGGTCACGTGACTCACATACACTTCAGACAGTTCCAGGAAGTTCTTGGCGGGCGATTTAAACCTATAAACACAGAGAGGCAGAACATCTTTCGGTAATTAGTGAATAAATACACTGATTTACAATATTTATATAGAAAACCAACATGTGTGTGTGTGTTTACACCAATATGATATATTTTGAAGTCAAATTCACCACTATTTCAGGATTAAACAGCTGTCGTTACTTGCCTTATCGACATGTTGGGTTGAGGTCAGCATGGATTTAAGGTGTGTTGTCGTTGTTTATTGCTTTGACTTTCAGTATTATAGATATTATGTTATTAAACTCGTATGGTAGTTCAGATCAGTCAGGTCCTAATGTTTATTGATATACTTAGAGAGAGGGGATGTTTCAAAACTGAGATCAGATTAATTTTCTCACATTAACACATCTTTAATTCATGGTAATTTAAGTAATTCCAGGGTCTTGATAATCCGTAATAACTTCATGACTAACGTAAACTTTATGACTTTCAGAATGGAGAGAAGGAGAAGGAGCCAAAGAAATTTGTTTAGCTTACATAAGAAAAAATCTGCTATTAAAAAGGGTACATTAAAATACATCACATCCAGACAGGACAGGACATAATAAACACACCTCATCCAGACAGGACAGGACATAATAAACACACCTCATCCAGACAGGACAGGACATAATAAACACATCACATCCAGACAAGACAGGACAAAATAAAACACATCACATCCAGACAGGACAGGACATAATAAACACACCACATCCAGACAGGATAGGACATAATAAACACATCACATCCAGACAGGTCATAATAAACACATCACATGCAGACAGGAGATGACATAAAAAACACATCACATCCAGATAGGACATAATAAACACATCACATCCAGACCTGATACGACATAACAAACATGCCACATCCAGACAGGACAGTACATAATAAAACACATCACATCCAGACAGGACAGGACATAACAAACACATCACATCCGGTCAGGACATAATAAACACATCATATCCAGGCAGGACAGGACATAATAAACACATTACATCCAGACAGGACTGGACATAATAAAACACATCACATCCAGACAGGATAGTACATAACAAAACACATCACATCCAGGCAGGACAGGACATAATAAACACATCACATCCAGTCAGCACAGGACAGAATAAACACATCACATCCAGACAGGACAGGACATAACAAAACACATCACATCCAGGCAGGACAGGATATAATAAAACACAGTACATCCAGACAGGACCGGACATAGTAAACACATCACAACCAGACAGAACAAGACATAATAAACACATCCAGACAGGACAGGACATAATAAACACATCACATCCAGACAGGACAGGATATAATAAAACACAGTACATCCAGACAGGACAGGACATAATAAACACATCCAGACAGGACCGGACATAGTAAACACATCACATCCAGACAGAACAAGACATAATAAACACATCCAGACAGAACAGGACATAATAAACACATCACATCCAGCCAGGACAGGACGTAATAAAAGACATCACATCCAGACAGGACAGGACATAATAAACACATCACATCCAGACAGGACAGAATAAATACATCATATCCAGACAGGATAGGAAATAACAAACACATCACATCCAGTCAGGACCTAATAAACACATCATATCCAGACAGGACAGGACATAATAAACACATCATATTCAGACAGGGCAGGACATAATAAAAACACATCACATCCAGCCAGGACAGGACGTAATAAAAGACATCACATCCAGACAGGACAGGACATAATAAAACACATCACATTCAGACAGGACAGGACATATAAACACATCACATCCAGACAGGACAGGACATATAAACACATCACATCCAGACAGGACAGGACATAATAAACACATCATATCCAGACAGGACAGGACATAATAAACACATCATATTCAGACAGGACAGGACATAATAAAACACATCACATCCAGCCAGGACAGGACGTAATAAACACATCACATCCAGACAGGACAGGACATAATAAAACACATCACATTCAGACAGGACAGGACATATAAACACATCACATCCAGACAGGACAGGACATAATAAAACACATCACATTCAGACAGGACAGGACATATAAACACATCACATCCAGACAGGACAGGACATATAAACACATCACATCCAGACAGGACAGGACATAATAAAAACACATCACATTCAGACAGGACAGGACATATAAACACATCACATCCAGACAGGACAGGACATAATAAACACATCACATCCAGATCGGATATATCAAACACATCACATCCAGACAGGACAGGACATAATAAACACACCACATTCATACAGGATAGGACATAATAGAACACATCACATCCAGACAGGACAAGCCATAATAAAAGACATCACATCCAGTCAGGACAGGACATAATAAACACATCACATCCAGACAAGACAGGACAAAATAAAACACATCACATCCAGACAGGACAGGACATAATAAAACACACCACATTCAGACAGAACAGGACATAATAAACACATCACATCCAGACAGGACAGGACATAATAAACACACCACATCCAGACAGAACAGGACATAATAAACACATCACATCCAGTCAGGACAGGACATAATAAACACATCACATCCAGACAGGACAGGACATAATAAACACACCACATCCAGACAGAACAGGACATAATAAACACATCACATCCAGTCAGGACAGGACATAATAAACACACCACATCCAGACAGGACAGGACATAATAAACACACCACATCCAGACAGAACAGGACATAATAAACACATCACATCCAGTCAGGACAGGACATAATAAACACATCACATCCAGACAGGACAGGACCTAATAAACACATCATATTCAGACAGGGCAGGACATAATAAAACACATCACATCCAGACAGGACAAGAAATAATAAATCACATCACATCCAGACAGAACAGGACATCTTGTCTTTTTATTATGCACATGAATAGTATGGCAGGCAGTTTGTCAGGGCCCTTATCTCCACGTTGTCCTTGCATCTATTCCCCAGCATCGTTCAGAGAAAGTAGTAAGAATGACACAGAGAGAAGAAAAGCAATCAGCAGCAATTACTAAATTAGTGACCATCACTAAAGATTACAACAACATAAAATGTGATATTGCATATGTTTCACAAAAGCCACACCACTGGGAAGCTTTTATTAAAAATAAGAAACAGGTAAAGAATTGCAAAACCCAGGGAGTTGAGACTCAGGGTGCAGGGTGGGGGTGTGGTCTTATTATAGGGAGTCTTTAGCCTGAGTTGAATCCCCCTGTGGTTCTTGCCATTAATACAAAATCAACTAACCTGCAACATAATGTACAGATAACAGTCAACAGAATCACAAAGCCTGCAAACAAGCAATCCTTAAACCTTATAAAGTCTCCAATATGCACCCTAAATCTATATCAGTAGTGACGTATCACGAAAATAGCTTTCTTTTTATTGTATAACTAACATTAGCTTGTACTCCAAAATGGATAACGATATCCTCATTTTACCTCCTCCTCCACCACTCTACAAGCTCTGCCCCAATGTTATACTTAACTAATATTTAACTCCCACTCACCCCCTGAAAAATCATGTTTAGAAGCCTTTTTCTAAGACTCAACAACGGTGGATGAAATGACATTGAGAGGAATTTACAATTACTAGGCTGTTTATGGTTAAAGGTATGGGTTGCTAATTTTACTCAGTATCCTGGCCTAATCTGTTATCTGTTAACGTTCCCTAAATCTACTAATTTAGTCCAGATTATCCACTAACATGCTTTAATATACATGTTCATTTGATTCAGATGTGCTTAATATATAGAAACTGATTCTTTAAATGTTTTTCCCTTTAAAAGCGAATCTCAGTCTATTCTTCTGAAACTCGGCTGCGCTGCTAATATTTGCTGCTAACTTCCAGGAACTATTGAGAGGCTCCACGATTCGCCATTGCTGGAAAAAATGGTCCATTGGAGAGAACGAAGATGACGGGACTCTCTCTACACAGCTCTGCCTGGAACTAAACGCCCACATCCAGCACTGTCTGCCTCTGTCACATCATTCATTTTTTATACAGAGATCCAGGAGAGCTGCTGGACGATATCAACTCAGCCACATTCACTGGAAACCTTAACGGTACTAGTAAATGGATCCTCAGTGGCTGGGCTGCTGTGTTTTTAGAGCTAGCGTACGTTAGCTACCAGAAAATATGGAGAGAGGCAAAATCAAATGGCACTTTTGTAACTGAGAGTTTTACGAGGTTGAAGATTTTTCTCTACTACCATCCCCATCTTCACAGAGGGAAGATGTTTCTGATCTGGCAGTGCGTCTTGAGCCTAAACAATATGAGCCACTGACTCAAGCTGCAGCAGAGTTAATGTAGTGCCAGAAAATGATTAGCAGTGAGCGGCAGAGGCGCCGAATGGTAGAACATAAAAACCCTAAAACCGCGACAGCCAGCTTCTAATTATCTGTTCAGCAGGTTTATATTCAGTATGACCCAAGTCCTGATTTCTTAGATGCCCTGAATCCCGAATGAATAAAGTGGATTTCTTTGAACTCTGTCTAAGTTTCTTTCAGTTTGACATCAAGGTCGCAGACTGCATCACCAGTCAGCCAGGCTTTGCTGCAGTGGCCCTAAATCCTTACGTCCTGCAAGCTGTTCATGGCACCTACTGGTGTTACATCTGATTCAGTTCCCCCTCAAATTCACGTTCCCCTTCATAAACTTAACCCTCGGTGCAGCACTCACTGGACAGAAATCAACAGCAGGCAACACTGGAACTACGGAAAAGCAAGAAAACGTCAGAGAAGGCTGTACAGATGAGAGGTTGACACAGTCAGCCATTTAACATTAATCTTTCCTGAACCGTTTCGCTTTCCGAAGTTCCAGTGTTGCTTTTCGCTGATGTCTGTTCAGTGGGTGCGCACAGATGCAATGTGAAGATCTTTATTCCAAACTAAGCTCAGATTAACTGGGTTATTTACAGCTGGTACAGACAGCTGGCGTATCGCAGCCTTGTGAGGAGGTGCTGGGGGTGTTTAGCTCAGCGTGTGAGGGTGGTCCTCTCCTCACTCTCGGCTCCTATGCTTTCACATTTATCAGCACGAGTAGGGTGTCATCAGGGGGCGGAAACGCTGGCTGACTGATTTGCATACTGTGAAGTTTCATGGTACTTTGGTATGAAGACACGTGCCCATAGCAGAGCTGAACCAGAGTGGGCACTGCAGATGCAGGACTGACCACGATAAAAATGATATTTTCACAGTTTGGAAAGATGTGATCACATTTTAAGCAAGGCTGGTATATTTAATTATTACAGATCAGTGCATTGTCACTCTATTATGGCCAGTCAAAATCTGCCATTATTTCTAAACTCTCCAATCACTGCTTAGCAACAGTTACTATCTGCACTTGCATCAGTAAGATGTCTTTGTAACTAGCATTGGGACTCTGAGGTCCTTGAAGCTTCTAAAGAGTTTTAACCACACAGTGAGCAGTGAGAGGTTCTCTGACCTCAGAACAGCTGTGGTTCATCCCTGGACTAAGCTATCCAGTCTGATTATCTCTGTATGAGACGCTACGCTGCCCTGAGTACCAGAATAATTTTGACTACTTGAGTTTTTCAGTTATGCAGCACACATGCTATAGGCTAACATATAGCATCACTATGGTAAACATGTAAAGGTTTATATTGATATAATATTATTATAAATAGTTTAAAATAATTTATATTAATATAATAAATGTACATATTCATGTACATTTTTCCATATTAATGTAAAATGCAAGCTCCATTATTAATTTCTTTATTTGGGACATTCACACATTTCTGGCTAAATCAGCGTCCAGAAGCTGCTCAGTTTAGGCTCCATAGTTGGCTGTATCAGTGATTAAGAGAGAAATGAAAGCTGTACTGTGTTACCTACTCATAACAAACTACAGCCAGCATGAGAAAATCCACTGTTAACCAGCATAGTGATGGTACAGTATCATGTAGCTGACATCATTAAGAAACCAGCAGCTACATTAGACTGTATATTTTCTCATTAACTGTATGAAAAGCTGCCTTTCCCGTTAGCTAGGGTTTGATAGATACAGCCTTTTATAACATGTTTAATGTGAGTAATTCTCATATTCAGGAGTTACTTTATTTACTATCAGATGTAGGTAACATTTTGCAAAGTGGACCTCACTAAAATTCTGATCCAAGTTACGGTCCCAGTGTTGGATCTGAACTCTCCAGTGTGGTAGAGCTCCAGGACCAGCCAATTCTTGTTACCTCATTTATATATGTAAATATAAACCTTTTATCTCCATTTTTGTCATTTTTTCAGTTTTTGGCAATTTGAAAATGCCTGTAGTCCTTTATTTTGTGTGTAAATTTCATGATGAATGAACCAAAAGAAATGGCCCAAAATAACTCAGGACAAATTCTGGTTCCATTGACTTACATTAAAAGTAAAGTATTTCTTCCCCTGTAATGTTACCATTTTGGAGATATGAGGTTTATATATATATATATATATATATATATATATATATATATATATATATATATATTCTTGTGTGTGAGTGTGTGTAAATTGGTTTTGGCAAAGGTTTATTTTTGTTTTTGACCACATGATTGTTATTAGTTTCGCTGCTGGCTGCTGAAAAATATTCAGACAAGAGCGGCTCTACAGTTAGAAACTTACGATTAATGAAGGACTGAAGGACTACGGGTGTAAGGGTTCAGCCAGCCCCGCCTGCTGCCAGCAGAGGGCGACAGCGGCAGGGTGTCCAGCCTGCGCCGCCTGCTGCCGGCAGAGGGCAACAGCGGCAGGGTGTCCAGCCTGCGCCGCCAGCTGCCAGCAGAGGGCGACGGCGGCACAGGGCCATAACTTCAGGGAACTCCAATTCCCAGAAGTCCGCGGGCTGATTAGGCCCAACGCGACACACCTGCGGACTCCTCTACTTAAGGTCAAGGCAAACAGTGGTGTTTGTCACACCTTTGTAGAGGGGTGACCGGTACGGTACTTAGTGTCAGAAAAGAAAAGAAAAGAAAAGAGAAGAAAAGAAACTGCCCCAAAACTAAAAAAGAAAAAGAAAAGAGGGCTGAGAAAAGAAATTGCCCCAAAACTAAAAAGAAAAGAAAAGAGGGCTGAGAAAAGAAATTGCCCGAAAACTAAAAAAGAAAAGAAAAGAGGGCTGAGAAAGGAAACTGTACCAAAGCTACTTAAAGGAGCTGTTTGCTTCACCAGGAGCAAACAACTGAAACAAAGTCTGCCTTCCCTTCATTCTTGGAGTGGAAGTGTTTTTTTTTGTTTTCCTATTATCTGTCCTCTCGCCTTTCTAGTTCAGCCTTTGTTTGAGCTGCTCTCAGCGTCTCTTTTGTCTGCCGTTCGTCGTTTTCCCGCCTTTTCTTTTCCCCCTTCCTTGAGGTGTTTTGCCAGTAGTCACCTGTGCTCCTCAGTGGCCGATCAGTACATGGCCGGTTCGAACCTGGCTTTGGGTCACCTCATATGCATGTTTCAAACTCACAACCCAGTGCCACAATAAACTCATTTTTCCATTTTTCTCTGTTTCCATTTCTGCACTTGGGTCCGCCTCCCCACCATCCCGTAACAGAAAGGTGTGACCAACATGGACCCAGCAGAATTGGATCCCATCAGATCTTCCCTGCAAACTCAGGGTGCCGTTATTGGCCGGCATGAGCAGCTGTTGCAAGACATGATGCAGCAGCTGACCCTTCTGGTCAGGGCACAGACCGAGGGGGTTCAGCCTGCCAGTGCTGCTGCTGCTGCCCCTGCTCCTGCCTTAGCTCCCACTCCACCACCCCCTGCTGACCTTAACCCCATCTGGGGTGATGCTCTGGTGGCCAATCCAGGGAGATATGCTGGGGACCCAGAGACCTGTAAAGGGTTTCTCTTGCAGTGTTCTCTGGTGTTTGAGCAGCAACCCTCCCGGTTCCCCACAGAGAGGTCCAAAGTGGCTTACATGATCTCTCTATTGACCGGTAGGGCTTTGGCTTGGGCCACCTCGCTGTGGGAGCAGGACTCTCCTGACACAGCATCGGGAGAGAGTTTTGTCAAGGCCATGCGGGCGACCTTTCATAACCCCATCGGGGGTAGGGAGGCGGCACCCCGCCTCCTGGCCCTCTCCCAAGGAGCCCGTTCGGTGGCGGATTATGCCATTGAGTTCTGTACCCTGGCCGCTGAAAGTGGCTGGAATGAGGAGGCGCTAACTGCCGTCTTCCATCAGGGGCTTAACGGGAAGCTCAAGGATGAACTAGCCTAACGGTAGCTAGCGAAGATTCTTTCTCTGGATAGACAAAGCACTTTTTGTAAGTCGCTCTGGATAAGAGCGTCTGCTAAATGATGTAAATGTAAATGAAACTAGCCACCCGGGAGCTGCCCTCCACGTTAGAGGGTCTCTATGACGTATGCATCCATCTGGATACCCGCATACATCAAAGAGACTTGGACCGGAGAGGTGGTTCCCGCGCTCCTGGCGCCCCTCTCCAGCTGGGTCACCACCTAGCAGGGACCTGCCTGAGCCCATGCAACTCGGTAGTGCTGGGCTGCCTGATTGCGGTTCTGGGGCTCAATCATTTGAGACCAGACACCCTGGCAATACTAGCCGGCCATGGGGAAATGCACGGGCCCGCTCCAGTCAGGGGGACCAGTGAGGGGCCAGTCGTCCTTTTCCCCCACTTTGGGGCTTTTCTTGGAAGTAAAACTTTCATGGGGGGCCCAGTCAACACATGACCTTGCAGGCCTTCGTTGACTCAGGAGCAGCAGGGGTCTGGGGTCTGGGCCTGTCACTCATCACACTGGGCCAGTCACCTTGCGAGTGGGCCCCCACAGTGAGAGCAAGGCGTTGTACCTCACCCAAGCCCCCCACTTGCAACTTGTGTTGGGGTTCCCTTGGTTGAGGCAGCAGAACCCTCACATTGACTGGTCGACACAGTCCATGGGACCCCCGGTGTAACGGTCATTGCCTGGTCGACCCTGGCCCCCTCCGAGGGACGCCCTCCCTCAAGGGTCCCGCTATGCCAGACCTTTCAGGGGT